AATATTTTATGTTACCTTCTGCATATTTTATAACTGTTGAAATTTTAAAAAAAATAATTATTTAATTGTGCCAAAAATTTTAACCATACAAACTATTATTGAAAAAAATATTTGAAATTGCTAATTGATTCATATTAGTTCATTTTATAATATTGTTAATTTTATTAAACTGTTAAAATTTCTTTAAGTAAATAAGTCCATAGTATACAGAGGATTTAACCCAATGATTCCTGAGTAATTCTATAAATCAAACAGTATACATTGAAAATGTCAGATCAAAATTCAGTTAATAATACTGTCATCTGATAATTTTTTGATGCACGGACATAATTAATGCAATGACAAAAATACGTTTTAACTTGTGGCCATCTTCTTAAAAGCCATTTGTGTTTTTAAAATTCATCTACATGATAAAATAGGAATAGAAGATTTGACAGATTCTATAAATTGGGGTAAACATCTATCAAGTGGTTCCTGTCCTCATGGAATGTTCCACAAACCAGGTACGAATAGTTCAGAATATCCTTTTAGGGAGTGCTCAAAAGTTTTCTAGGTATGACTAAGTAGGGACTTCATCTCTTTTTTTTTTGGTCAGATTTTGGGAAGTGAGTTAGGCTAAGAACTTTTCAGCAATTCACTCGTATAGTTTTGTCTTTTGATTTGTAATATAAATTCCAGGCAGAAAAAGTTATTGCTACTAGTTAAGTATTTTAATAAGAGAGAGAGAGAGAGAGAGAGAGAGGGAGAGTGTGTGTGTGTGTATATATATATATATATATATATATACATATATATATATATGATATGTTATGTTGGCTTAAGTTGTTTTGAGTTAAGTCATTTTTGATGATATGCCAATTTTTCTTAAATATTATATGGAAAAATAAAACTTACCTAATGTCCTTTTACTAGTGTTTACATTTTCCATTAAAAATATTAGAAACATCAAAACACTAAAATAACAATAAAGACATACTAAATCATATTTAAATAAATTTAAAGAATATATAATCATAAAATCATCAAAAACCAAAAAATTAGCATAATAAAGTATGTTCAACAGATGTTCTTATTTTCAGGCTGTGTGCACGCACATATGAGACCGTGGAAAAGTTTTTATAGGCAATATATTCTGCCTCCTTCTGAGTATTTTGTCTAGAGAAGCTTTTACAACTTTGTTTCATTATTTCCATATTTATTCAGGTAGCATTTTAAATTCTATTAACATCAACTTCTATATAGCTAACCGTGTGTGGAATTTAAAAATAAAAAAAAAATACAAGGGATCTGATTGTAACCTGGAAAATTTTACAAAGGCAAAGCTTATAACAACCACAATAATATTTACAATCTCTGCGAAATGTTTCTGGATCCAAAGAACCTTTTTAACCAAAGCCAAATTACCAGAGTCCTTGCATACATACTAAAAAATTCCTCTTAAGCACTTATGAGGTGGGATAAAAAAAAGAAAAGAAAATGTACATTTCAATTACCCCCCCCCAATACATTTATAATATCTTTGCTTTTCTTCTCTTCCCTCCTTCATTTTTATCACACTCAATGTCATACGTTTGTTTATTTTTTAAAAATAATATAGTGTTCATTAGTTTTTTCTTTGTTTTTTAAAATAAAGAATTGGGAGGTCAATTGATATAAATCGCCTGATGATACCATAAGGTTGAAACCAAGGTAATGAATTCAACTGATCTTCTAATTTTTAAAGTATATATATATATATAATGAACCTAAAGAGCCAGGTAAACCTACCTAGGTTTCACCTATATGGATTGTCAGGGTCAACTGGCTTGAATTCTGGATGATTGTTTTCACCTCAATTTCATGGTCTTAGTTCTTTCTTTTTTTTTTTTTTTTATCCCTTATTTTCCCTTGGGCATTGGTTTGTTCAATTACAAGCCAAAATACCTAAGTTTTTTTCTAAATGAGTGTATATATATATATATATATATAACAAATGAAAACTACAGAAAAAAGTTCATTTTCTCCAGCAAGCAGAGATATTTCTTCTCCTGATGATGGCCATTTTGGCCGAAACTAGTCAAAGAATCTAAATGAAATAATAAAAATGAAAGAATATTAATCTATAACCCAGTGTGTCTGAAGATTTTAATTTTTTAATATTTTTTCTTCTTCAAAATATATATATATATATATATATATATAGCTTAATATAAAATAATGCTGCCTATTGTTATACATAAAATTACATAATGTATATCAAGGTGAACATTATTTCTGCCAATAAATTACTCGGTATTTGTGAAGAGATCAATAATAATAATCAGAAATAATAAAATTCAATATATATAGGTGTCATTTCTGGGTTTTGTAATTTTACCAATCATCAGGACTTTCCATAAGTTTCTAACTTCTAGCTAAGTGATACCTATATCACAAAAGCTTTTATTTATCTATTTACTTTTGCTTAGCAGGTGGCCACTTTGAAAATCTTACCTTTTGTTAGATTCTATTGTCTTGCATGTACTCCTAAAATCATTGGACACCTCAGGCTTAAGATTATTTCCTGTCCACTTCTATATAAGGCGTCTCCTGAGGCAAGTTCTATTGTGTCACATACCTCCCTACAAAAATATCAATCACTCCAAGGTCCATAAAAAAAAAAAAGAAATTAATATTATTTTAAGTACAACTAAATTCATTTTTTTTATTTTTATTTTTTGGGTTTGTTTTATTAATTTCATTTTTCCTTTGGTTGTTTTAATTTCTCTTTTTTTTTCTTTATATGTCACGTATGATTTTAGTAGAACTTTTGCATGTCTTCAGGTTTTTTTCCTTTACTTGTCTTTTATGTGCATGATTTTTATTTTTGGGTTTCTTTGCTCTGTGTGTTCAAATTAAAATTCTGAGGGATTTTCCTTATTCTTTTTTGATCCTCTTATGGCCTCTCTCTTTGTGTATGGATCATTCATCTCTCTCCTGGATTGAAATTTTGGTCAACATTGCCATTTGTACAATGGAGCTCTCTCTCTCTCAGTATTTCACTGACAGAACAAATCACCCCCATATGTCCTCATGAGGTGTCAGTGTGCATAAAAACTGAGAAAGTTCTATTGTGCGTTCACAATGAAATGAAAGGTGAAAACATTAACATGGTGAGAAATGAAAAGATGAATCCTCTGCCATTTTTAATAAATTTCATCCCAAGCAAGGCAATAAAGCCACTAAGACAAAAGGAGTTAATGAGTGTGAATAAGAGAAAGAAAAACATTAAGGAGAACTATAGAAGAGGAATCCAGAAGACAGCAGATAATGATTTGCATTGCATTTAAACCTTTGAAGATCAAATTTTGCTGGAAAGCATGGTACCAGAAGAGAGTTCCACAATCGAGAAGTGCAAGGAAAGAAACTGTTAGCAAAGAACTTATATTTACATCTCATCAGTTCAACTTGTAAAATGATGAGACCCCCTTATTGACAATTTAGTACTGAGCTTAAATTCATAAAGTCTTGATAACATAGAGCAAAATTGATCCGAACAATTAACATGATAGTATTTATAGAAAAGGCACAGGGCAGCTATATTATGTTGGTGGGAAAGTGACTGATGCCAGGTCATTGCAGATTATTTTATCAAGAATCTCTAAATATATAGCAGGATCACCAGGCGAGATATGACAGCAATATTCAAAGCAAGGATGAATGGTAGACTTATAAGATATGTAAGATAGATTCTGAAAAAAAAAATCTCACTTGACACAATGAACCAACTTTCCTAGTAGCAGATCTAACAATTGATTCAATATAATCTTTCCACATCATGTCAGCAAAACAAGTAGCCAGAGAAAATAGAAGTTACTCTCTTGAAGGTTAGCATCAGCCATACTGATGAAAGGTAGAAAGGCTTCTCTCAGATGATTAATAGAGAGCAGTTTTGTTTTGGAAGCGTTCAAATTAACAACCCATTCCTTGTCCTAGTTAGCAGCAGATTTTAAGTCACTTTTGAGATCTGCTGCCAGTTTGACCTTATCGAACCAATCAGATTTACTGTTAAGACAGGAGTAAATAGTTATTGTCAACATAGATACAGAATTGAAAGCTGAAGCCATCAGGAAGGTTATTGATGAAAATTAGGAAAAACCTAGGTCCAAGGATAGATCCCTGGAGGGATATCTTTATTAATGATAAAAGATCTAGAAAAGTGACAGTTCATGACAACTTTTTTTTTTTTTTTTAATGATCTGATGAGAAAGACTGAATTAGTTCAAAAATTTGCCCAGAATGTGTAGAAGAAATCCACTTACTTTCAAAAAGATCAAGGATGTGTGCATGTCAATAATATTGGCTCCATGCTACAAATAAAAACCTGAGCAAACACATGCCGTCATTTACAAAAGAAAACAATTAATGGAATAGCCTACCTGTGCTACCTACAGTATTGATGGAATAATTCGAATGTTCTGTCTACAGTTTATCTTTTAGTGCATGTAAGGTCAATGGGAGTGAACGTGTGAGAAGCTAATGAGATGAATGAGCATATTTGTGGCTATTTGGACTTACAGCTCTGTGAATTGGTGACAGTTTAGTACACAGAAATGACGTCACTTTTTATGGGAGTAAGATACAGTCAAATGCATTTGTAAGATGTAATAATTCCCCCATTATGATATTTCATCGTCTTTATTTCTTAATGAAAAAAAAAAAACGAAAAAAGATTCCTGCGCAGATCTTGAGAACCTAACATTTAATTGGTAAATTTATATTTTTGATCCTTTATCAATTTTGTTATATTTACTTGGATACCAAGGTTTCATGCATTTAGTAATCACCAGGCGCAGTTAATTTGATAGTTTATTTAGACAATCATCTCTTTGCTTTCAATTATTTATGTTAATGTTTTGACAAATGATTTGTCAGTCTTGAAGTGAATGGCACGCACATCTGACAGCCTCATAGGTAAGTTTGAGATTTAAGCGCAAAAATAATATTGCTTTTTCATTTTTGTTTCAGAACCACCAAGTACAATGAAGTACATCAGTTTGATATCATTGACTCTCCAGAATGCCTTACTGGCCCTTGTCATGCGCTATGTGCGTACCCGTTCAGGTGATATGTTCATGGCAACAACAGCTGTGGTCATGGCAGAGTTTTTAAAGTGTACTACTTGCCTCCTAATCATCCTTTTCCAGGAGGGAAGTCTTTCCAAGTGGTTAAAACACCTCCATGAAAACATTATCATGCAACCTGTTGATTGTATGAAAATTGCCATTCCTTCCTTGGTGTACACCTTACAAAATAACTTGCTTTATGTGGCAGTCTCAAATTTGGATGCAGCCACGTATCAGGTGAGTCACTTTTTTTTGCTCCCCACATCCAAAGAGCTTCTTTGGGAAATTTTCAGGTTAATAAAAAGGGTAAGAGTTAAACTTTTTTTTTTTTTTTTTTTCTTACATTTAAGAAAAAAATTTGTTGTTGCCTAAATAGTTTGAGAGAAACATAAAATTAAGTAACTTTATTCCTTATAATGTCTCTAAATATTCTTTGATATATAATATTGGAAAAGCAATCATTTAATTTATAAAGGATTATATAAAACGTCCTTATAATTGATTTTTTTATTTTATTTTAAATTGATATTTACAGAAGGCCATGAAGTATAAAGCCCTCAATAATGATCAAATTGGCTGTAGTAGGGATAGTTCACAAAAACTAACAGTAAATAGCTTTTTAGGATATTAATTTTTTAAAATACCATTAATAACAAATGTTTTATCATTTATTCATATCGTCATGTTTGACTGTTATAAAATGCTTCTTAAATCCTTGCACATTTTTTTTTATTTTTTTTTTATTTTTTTTATTTTATTTATTTTTTAATCATTTCACCTGAAGTAATGCAATAAAACCACTAAGACACAAGGGGGTTACTGAGTCTGAGAAAATATGAGGTAAAAAAAAAAACATTAAGGAGAACAATAAAACAGAAATTAAGATGATTGACATTGCATTTAAATTTTTGAAGATCAAAGTTAACTTCAAAAATGTAAATAAGTTGTGTTGGAAAATCACTGACTGTACATGTTGAATAAAAATGTGCACACCATTAATGCTCATTGGTCTGCAGCCGAGTGATTCTACCAGGAAGCATTATGCTCTCTGTGTTCCATTATTATAGGAGGATTGCAATGTTTGTGATATTTATGATGGCTGATAAATTTGGGCAAAGAAATTGCATTGAATTTTGTATAAAAACTTGAAAATCTGTTACAGAAAAACTTGGAAATAATTTGTCAGTAATGGGTTTTTGAGCAGCGTATGCATTTCACTGCCAGGGAAGTGTCAACTCAAGTGTTCAGGGTGCACCATTGCCAGCAAGAAGCTAGAAAATATGGAAAACTGAGAACTTTTAATGAACAATCCATCAACTCTGATATCAACCTGACAGGAAATTAATATCAAAACTGGAATGGTCATCATGATAGGATTGCTGTGTAAATTCTCAGGGAAACAATTTCAAAAGGAATAGAGACCTAATTCAAATGATATATGAAATATAATATTTTAATATTGTTAAATTTGAAAAAATGTTCCCAGCAACTTTCTGATAAAACTTAATATTTACTATTTTATTTGAAAAATCCCGATTTGTTTCTGTCATTGTTAATCATGATGTACAAAACTTTACATACAAACAGGTATTGTGATTGCAAATAAATGAAAAGTACAATTTTTATCTATTTGCCAACATTTTAGAACTATTTTTAAAATGATTCAGTTTTTCTTAAAGGTCTGTTCCATTTTTTTTCTCACTTAGTTTTAAGAGTTCTATGTTCAGACAGATATCTGCATATATCATCTGAAAACTTGTTTTCAACACAGATATTGGGGGTAAGGGATTTTTTGTTAGTGGCCTGTGTGTGTGAAATTGAAGTATTTTCAATTAATTTTTGTTTTCATATTTGTTTTTATTTATTTTATATTTTGGCCAGTCTTTTTTCTAACCTTCTTCAGGTGCAGATGAGAATAGTATTGAAAAAAAATCATTGAAATATTATTTCTGTCTGAATTTCTGTGACGAGGAGATCTCTTTATTTGCATTATTTGCAGTCAGACTAATATCTTTCTTACATTTTTTGCCATTGTATCCTCCAGTCTTGTTTAACATCTTGTTTCCTCTTGAGGGTTAAAAAGCATTGGTTCATAAATTTCTGGCTTGGGCAGTACATTCAAATGAAAACAGAAACTAGCAACAACTGAGCAGTATTAAAAAAAACAAAAAAACAAGATGATTTATCTGTAGGCCTGAACAACAGAGTGAGAATATTTTCCTTGGTAAATTAAATCAAGGATTCACTTTGAAATTCTTTGAAAGTTATATGGATTGATAGACATCTGAAGAAGGTCAGAGTTCACAATTGTTATTCAACAAGATCTTGGTAATAGTAAAATGTTTCAAATCTGGGTTTCTTTTTTTTGTGTAATATATACAAGGTGGTTATAAAGTCACTATACAGTTCTATAGATGGCCACTTGTATTTGAGAATACCTGTTTACTAGGGCAGTTAGCCAATCCCTATTGCAGACGCTTGCTCGCGAACATTAGCGTTTGTTCAACACCCACAGAGCCTATCTGTGGTTTATACTGCAACTAAGCTTCTAGGAAAAGACTGTATTATTTAGTGTGATGAACAATATGGACAAAGCCAGCATGCCCAAACCCTCAGTCATGATGTCTTGTGACTTTATGCTAGCACAGATATTGATGGCCCCAAAGGGTACAGTCTACCCAATTTCACTCACAAGGCTTGGGTCAACCCATGGCATGGTTTTCAGGCCCTTTCCAAAGGTGATGCACGCTGGGATTGCCATCTCCAGACATCAGCTATCAACACACAGCAGAGGGAAAGGGGAACTCTAGCGTATTATTTTTATGAATGTAAACAAATGCCACACACACATACAAACATATATATATATATATATATATATATATATATATATATATATATAATTAAGTTTGGCTGTTTAAATGACATCACCTTGAGTGATTTTAAATTGGTTTTAACAAACGAGGGAATGCCTTGGAATTAACCAAAAGTAGTTACATACACAAAACACAGTCCTTGAAAGCAAATGTAGCAACATTAGAATGTACTTCAAGAGTAGGGATAAAATAGAAATGAACTTTGTAAATTTACCTATTACAAAAAAAAACAAAACTAATTCGGATGTTTGAAAAAGTTAATAAAATTTGGATAGACAGAACTTGTCAATATTATTCAACCAAGCTTTTTTGCAAGAATTCTTGCTGCCTAAATTTGCACCTTTTCTGCTATTTAAATATTTAAAAAAAAAAAAATCTAAGGGAAGTAACTCTTATCCTCACGTAAAATTTCTGCTAAAGATAATCGAATTTAAAGCTTGAAGTAAGAGTTGTCATCTACTGTTAAAATTCAATATCCAGAGTTATGCCCCTTGTGCAAATGAATCTTCTACTGTGACCTTTTGTTACTGGTTTTCTTTATAAAAACGTCTTTATCATCAAATATATGTTGAAGTTAACTTGAATTCTAATGTATGGTATGAAATATGGGCAATAATTCCACTTTGTAGTAATCAGCTATGAAAAGACTTTTATAAATCACGATGAGAAATGTGATGCTTTGTCTGTCACATAACCACAAACCTTTGTATGAAATTTTTTTTCTTAATGCAGTTTTAGTATTTTGAAAAAAAAGCAGTTTCTAGTTAAAGGTAAATTGTGGGTGTTTTTTTATAGAAATTAATTCTTAAAAGATCCTTTTAGAAAATTTATAATATGCTAGAAAAATTTAAATACCAAAGAGCAACTTCTTAATAAGAAAGCAAATGTTTATAGACATTGAACTGAAATTCCACATTGAAATTTGCTTTTCTTGACATTATTTATTATCTTTTCTCTCAATGATGTGATTACATTTTCTTTCTCTGTTAAGAATATTGACTGAAATGAATGCAAATATAATTTTTGTTTACATTCATAATTGTATGAACTTTTGACATTCTTAAGTTCCCCAAAAACATAATAGAAATGAACAACTTGTCTGATTTTTGTTAAAAGAAATAAAAAAATAAATGAACTCTGGTTTTTGTCTTTCTCCATTTTGTAATGGCAAGAATTATAAGAATAAAGAAGAATGCTTCTGTTTCTCTTAGTCCATTAAACATACAACACAAGATAATAATAATAATAACAATTCAATATCATCACAGAAGTTTGATATTCAGAGAGATTTACAAAACTATTAAGATCCAAGTTGCAGTAAATGAATAAGCCAAAGATATTTCTTAAATCCCAATTCTCTACATATTCATTTTTAAAAAATTTTTAAAAGATGGTTGTCATTTGGTATAAGAATTTCTGAAAGAATTTTTTTTTTTTTTTTTAAGCATTCTACAAAGAATCAACAGAGAATTTTAAAAACTTTAAAAATTGGCTGGAAATCAACAAACCAGTCTAGTTTCTTTATTTTTCTTCCTAAAGAAAATTTCAAAAACCACAATAACGGTTTAAATGATGTTTTAATGGTTTAAAAAAATAATGGTCTAAATGATGTTTTAATGGTTTAAAAATATAATGGTCTAAATGATGTTTTAATGGTTTAAAAAAGTAATGGTCTAAATGATGTCTTAATGGTTTAAAAAAAATAATGGTCTAAATGATTTCTTAATGGTTTCTGTTTGAACTTATATAATCCATTTTGTTTTAAGACATTTTTTATTTCACTGTTTTTTATATTTTTAAAAATTTAGAAAAAAATGCATTTTTATATGAATTTATATTTACAATATACTTTGTATATTTTATGCAGGTAACATATCAACTGAAGATCCTCACCACAGCTATGTTCTCAGTGTTTATGCTAAAAAAACAACTCAGCCGTATGCAGTGGTTGTCTCTGGTTATTCTTTTCATTGGGGTTTCCTTTGTCCAGCTGCAATCAAAAGCTTCATCAGAAAATGTCAGCACAGAGCAGAGCCCGCTTAGGGGTTTGATGGCTGTCATAGCTGCTTGCCTAATGTCTGGCTTTGCTGGTGTCTATTTTGAAAAAATCCTTAAAGGGACCAAACAGAATTTATGGCTGCGTAATGTCCAGCTCGGATTTCTTGGAACCATCATCGGATTGATAACAATGGAGATTCAAGATGGGATTAAAGTTCAGGAAAAGGGATTTTTCTTTGGTTATGACATGGTTGTGTGGATTGCCATTTCATTACAGTCGTTTGGCGGTCTTTTGGTAGCCGTGGTAGTGAAATATGCAGACAATATTCTGAAAGGATTTGCAACATCGGCAGCCATCATTATCTCGTGTGTGGCGTCTATGTACTTGTTTGATTTTCATCTCACGCTACAGTTTGTGATTGGGGCTTCACTTGTTTGTTCTTCTGTGTACATGTACAGCAGATTTGCCCTTAAGATGTAAATGCAATTCTTTATTGTTCCTTTGAATTGTATAGAAGCAATTAATTGGTTTGTAGCATATTGTGGAAATGCATTTTTTTTTCTTAATTCTTTGATGTAATATTTTTTTTTTATCAAAGACAAATATGAAAATAAATCAAAGAACAAGCCTTATAAAAAATGAATATTTATGATAACAAGAAAAATTTATAAATTGTAAAAAGATTTTGAAAATTGGCTTCAAATGGAATTGTTTTTCTCTCCTCAAATTTGAGAATCTCAATACAACTACTCACTGAAAAGGTAATGACAGGATTTAAGTTGAATCCATTTAAAAAAAAATTACTATAAAGGGTTTTTGGAGAAATTACTCCCTTAAAATATAAGAATTGATCTGTGTACTTAAAATGTTTAAAAACTAATGTGTATCCACAATATGACTTGCACCAAAGATTGGCCATTCATACCCACATGTACTGTACTTGTTGGTAATCGAAACTGCTGGTTGTAAAGGGCACAACCTCTTGAACAAGAACAACTTTAGGGTTTATGCAAGTTAATATTCCAGTACTACTATCCTCATTGGGGATAAAAATGTTTGGTGCAAACAAATATAAAAGATCTTTGGGACTGAACAAATCAGTTGTTTCAAGCACGGCTAAAAGATTTTTTTTTTAAATTGACGGAATCTTGAAGAAGAAAAGTCGAAGCCCATAAATTGTCGACTTTTTGGATTTAGCCAAATCTTGGCTTTGGTTTCTGGAGACTGTTTTGGTGGAAATCGCTTTCTGAAATTCGTGTCACATATTGGTTGCTTATTGAATATTTATTTTCTTTGAAGCAGCAGAAGCTTTAAAGATGTGGGTGGGGAAATGGTTGTGTACATCTGGTGGTGTTATTATTGGAGCAGCAGTGGAGAGGAAAAAAAAAAAGTTCCTGGTGGCAACTTTTGGGGTTTTAATGATTTATATTTATTTTAATCTTTATTTTTATTTTATTTATTTTTTTTTAACATTTCATTCTTTACTTGTTTTTGTAAGATTGAAGAAAAAAAAAATATTAGAAATATTATTTGATGAGAAAATAATCTTTGTTCAATCTTACACTTCATCTTTTTCTATTTCCATTTTTCCTTTAGTTATCTCTCATCTTGGACATAGTTAAAAAGAGACAAAAAAAAACTGTCACGTTTGTATTACAGGACTGTTGTTGGCTGGTACCCCCCCGCTCCCATTCTCCCTCCATTTTTGCCCAACCCCCACAACTGTCTCCCCTCTGTCCCTGTTTATTAGTGACATGTTAATCAGCAATGTTAAATCATTTTTTTTTTCTTTATTTGCTGCTTTGTAATACTTTAATTTTTTTTTTCAATATTTTCCTTTGGCAAAATAATCTTGTTTGTTGCATTTTCTGTAAGACAGAAAAAAAGTACATCATTTGTATGTTTATTTCCAAAATAAGGAATTTTCACTTACCCTTCTCGTGCCATCATAAAATGAACCTGGCAAGCCTTGCTGGTGTCATTTTTGCACAAACCTCAAAGTCGGTCATTTTCATTTCAATGGATGTTCTCCATGATGGGAAAAGGATGGCAAAACTGAAACACTTCGTTACTTTAATTCGATTTCTGGTCCAGTCCCCAAAGATTATTATATTGCAAGACTAACATTTTTAATTATTAATTCAAGATAATCAAGAAAACAAATTTATGGGTTATTAAATATAAAGATGAAATATATAATTTCAAAGTATTATTTGCATTCTCATCAGTGGGAATATGTAACACTTATTTAGTTTATGAAGATTTAATTAATAAAAATTAAAAACATCTGGAAATTCCATGGTGCATCTTTGCAATTTTGGAAAAGGTCACACTAAGTAATTCCAAGATTTTGACATACACAGAATGAAAACCTTTTTAAAATTGGGCCTCATCATTGTTTCCAGGAAAATGCTACAAACAGTAACAATGTAGATATTGTAGTTTGGTGTAGACCATTATTAAATTTCTGGATATTAAGATATCTAGCTACAGATCCAGGTGATTTTTTTTTTTTTTTGGAGAGGGGGATTTCTGGATGTTAAGGCATCTAGCTACATACAGATCTACATTCTGTTTGTTTTTTTGTTTTTTTTTGAGTTGGGGAGTATGTAAAAAATGTTATGTACTCTGTAGATATGTAACAACCGGGAGAAGAATATAAAAAAACAAATATTGCTTGGGGTTTTATAAGTTAATATATTTCAGTAGTCATTATTAAGATCAGCCAAAAAAAAAAAATGTTTTTTTTTTATTTTTTTTATTTATTTTTTTTTAAGTTTGATTAACCTCACATATCAGATAATTTTATTTGGGCTTAATTTCTAACTGTGGTGAAAGTTGTTGGTAATTTAATAAATTTATAAGTCTCTTCATTTTGGAAAAATAAAAATGTGCTTCATTTTGGATTTTTTTAAAAAAAGATGAATTTTATTAGATTATTCATATTAAAGTATGAAAATGTAATCAATTAAAAAAAAAAAAATAGTTAAAATTTGATAGGCATTTTACTTTAAGAGTTAATTTGAATATTGCACCCCTCCCTCCTACAATAGTAAACTATTAGATTAGGGACTTGCCAGTGTCATGAAAGGTTTTAGATATTTTTCAGCATGACAACTAACAATTTATCACACATTCATATATAGAAAAAGAAAGTAATTAAAATTAATTAATATTTTTAAATAATGGCAAATGAATTTAACAATTTGATAGACAAAGAGTATTGGATCCATAAGACTTCTTTTTTTTTTCTTCTTTTGAAACCTCATTCTGTTGCTGATGTCTTCAGTTCTTTACCTGGATCTACATTTTTAGCTGAATTTTCTTTAAGACCCATTATGTTTTGATTCAGCTTCTTGTCACAAAATGTTTTCTTCTCACAAAATGTTTTCTTCTAAAGACGACCATGGCAAATAAACTTAAATAAATAACAGTATTAAGGTAAATTATCATTTAACAATTCGGTCCCTGTTAAATTCTTAAATGTATCTAACCCCTTAACTGTGGCAAAAGTTTCCTTCCTGTTCTGTTGAGCCATAGAACTGTAAATGTTGGAATATGAACAATCACCAATTGTTTTGTCTGATTCAGACATTTGTCCAATCTTCTGCTAACTTGGACATACGCCTCTCTTTTCGTGTGGACTGGAAAAAAACATTTCTAAATTGAATATCTTCTTTTCTGAAAATGGTGGTCAGAGTTTTTAAATTTGTATAAAGCTGAAAGAGAAATTCTTCTCATTAGAAGAAGGTAAGAAAATTTGATATTTCTCTCCATTTATTTGTTTGAAAACTTCAGACTTCAACTGAGATCTTGTGAGTTGCTGATAAATGTTAAACAATAAAAAGCTTCCTTCTATAAAAACTGTTTCATCATTTTCATTTGATGTCATCAAATCTTTTAATATGCAACCAAATCACCATTGGGCAAGATGCAGCAACGAATCCCCCCCCCAGGTACAAGCATGTCATTATTGAACATTTTAAAGTTAAACAAACAAACAAACATACATACATATTTCCCCCCCCCCCCAGACGTTCTACCTTATTAGACTGCTTTACCTAGCCTCATATTCTGAGCAGAAATTCAACTTTTGTAAGGAATAAGTATTTCATTTATTTATGGAATAAATGTGTGCTCAGAATATAAGGCTAGGTAAAGCAATATAACGAGGGTAATTTAATATTTCATATATTTACAAAAAAAACAAAAACAAATAGTTATTTTAATATATCAACATGGAAAATATTCAAACATTAATGTAAGTTCATGAACATTTCTTTAACAACTCAAACAAAAAAAAAATCTCATTGCATTTATGAGCCATAAAATCACTTATTTCTTTTTCATCCTTTGTTAATAATCAAGTTTGGATTTCATTAACTGGAAACAAAAAAAAAATTCAATCTTAAATGCAATGTAAAACTAAGTAAACTTTATTAAGACAAATTTTGCTTAATTCTCTTCAATTTTTGTCTTGATTTGCTAATAAAAAAAATGTTAAACATTCTTATGCTTGTACTTTTATTTCTAAATCCAAATTACTTAAGAAAATTTATTTTTCAAAATCCACTTTTGGTGATAAATGATGAAATGGTTTGGCATTAACGTAGGCTTCATTGATGGATGTGAAATAGAGGAATTTCTGTATTTGTTAGTTTTGTAGTTAAAGGAACATAAAAAAAAAATGAAACCGTAAAAGACACACCTATAATATTGAACTTTAAGAATAATTGTCACAACTTAGTTACTAAAATGGCCTTTTCCTAGGCCTTTTGCAATGTTTTTGACATGACAAAAAAAAAAAATACAACACTGATATTGAAACCTGATAGATTTTTGTTTTAGTTATGTGGTCTCTACTTAATAAAAAATTTGTTGTAGAATGTTTATGTGCACACTATTTTCCCTCTTTATTTTAAAAAAAAAAAAAAAAAATGAAATTAAGTATCTTTTAATGTCTGTTGATATTTCTAGGATGAGGTATTGTAACTATTTACATTGTTTGAACTGTTGTCCTCATCTTTATTGTCATATTCATGCCATTTTGGCCATTGTACACTCCAGCCTTCTTTAGGATCTGTTTATTTCTGAAATGAGGTTATGTAATTTACATTATTTGGACTGTTGTCATATTCATTGGATGTACAATGGTTGAAATGTGAATTTGACAACAGTCCAAATAATGAGAATCTTTTGTTTTTTGTTTTTTTTTAGACATTTAATGAATGATTTAATAACTTTAATAGCGCATTCCCCTCTCACTACCACCATCACAGGCACTTGTTGTCTTCTGGCTACTCGAATTTTAATTAAACTTGTTCACTAGTTGTCATTGTGTGCAATGAGGAAATTCTAAAGAAAATGGTCACTAGAAATACACTCCAACTTAAAATCAGAAAGATGTTGACATTTCTAGGGCACATGAGGAAAGAAAGCTTGGAAAATTTCACACTCACAGGACATATTGAAGGAAGCAG